ACTCGAACCAGGGATCCTATGTTATGTAGTCAGCGCAACTAACAACTGAGCCATCCTCGCAAATGACGAATTGGAAATTCGTGACTCGTGATCGCTTGGAAAGCTTTTGCAAGTTTTTGCAAGCGAAAAATTCAGTATTTCTGCTTGTATCATCAATATAAACTGTGACAAAAGTACAATATCATAGATAGAATAAATGGAAATATTCTTTGTTCTTTTTCTATGAAGACTTTTTGAATAATTTTGGGACGGACAGAAAAATTGAAACATGTCCAATAACTGCGAAAAGTGGCTTTGATCTACCAAATAAACGACTGGCATCAACCAATATTTACCTCTACTGGGTATTGGAAACAAGGAATGTATTTTTTAACATAATTAGTCGCAAATTACATTTTCCTGTCTGTCCGTCATGCACAGTCAATGTTCTCATGTTTACATTGAGTAATAAAGGTACATACACTCATTTTTGTTTATAAGAAACAAAGATCGATGTTGAGTACTCCAGTTTCTTAATGTTCTGGAAATTTCAATACTTATTGTTTCCTAAGAGTTTCTTAATTATGATGTAATGAATGATGTTATGAAATGTTTGTGACCTTTTTTCTCATGTTAAGAGATTAGCTTTCGTTGTGATGCTGTATTTAGATGTGGGAAGTATATTTTTATCCCTTGTGTTCTTGGATTTTACAAAATTTTGTCGTTCCCAGTTTTATCACGATTTAGTAGTTTCTTAATTTTTTGCTTCGAGTACTGAAGTTTCTTAATTTTTTCAGACTGTCCAGTACTCGTTTCTTATAGCCAGTTTCTTATAAAAAAATGAGTGTATTCCTAATCGTTTCAACGTCCAGCCATTCCATGTCGCAATGTTAAGATTTCGATATTGTTGGTATACTATTGTGAGCTGCTTCAAATTGGGCTCACCCCAGTTCCCTTAATTTTGTTACAAGGCTCAGTCTGAATATGATGAATTTCGCTTCCACTACTGACTTGCAAAGCTACCGTTTTCAGAATTCATACTTTCTTTCAGCAGCCGACGTCTTCATCGTACTCATTGGGCGCGATGATTAAGGTATGGTAACTCTTGTCCAAGAAGATACCCAAATGCTACGGACGGATGGGTGTCTTAGCTCCTTTTATTTGTTTGTATCAGTCTTCACTCATTTCTTTCATCGCAGTGTTTATTAAACTAAAAGGGTTTGAAATTCCTCCAAAAATAAAGTGCACAGCTTGCGGAAAGATAAAAGTAAGAAAGTTCTGCTCTTCGGTTTCATCTTTGCTGTGAAAAGGTTCTACTCTAACAATATCATACACATGACGGTGTAAAGATTTTAAAATTTATGACTATAATTATATTGGCCTGGTAAATTATTACAGTATGTGCATGAAAACAGTGGCAACAGCCCATTCATTTGACAGTTCAATCAACTTCTCATTTCAATCCAGTTCAATAACAGGTTCAATCCAATTCAATAAAAATAAGACTACGTTAGCTTGAATTTAAACAGGACCATGATTATGTTTTGCTCCTGCAGACACAACAGATTTTGCGAACTATGAAACATAGCATCAATTTGACGAAAAGTTTTGAACAAACTAACTTCGATATTTTAGTTTTTTTGGGTCTAAAAATTTCCATACCAATTCAATGCAGACAAAAAGGACACAAAATAAATATCTACCGTGATTGCTATTTATTGTATTCAAAATTATAAAATCCATATATTTAACAACATTATAAAAATATAAATAGTGCTAGAAAACTTTCTCTGTCATTTCTGACTTTGTCATACCATTTGCTGGAAAAAAACTCTACAAGACTCAAAGTTTATCTCGTTAAAGCACAGCTTAACACCTGCATAACTAAATTTTTAAAGTCAGCTAGATCAGAAAATAATACACAGCTTCTAACAAAAATTGATTAGTGTAAATATTTTTATAAAGAATTGAGTACTAACTTGAGAACCAATATTGAACTAATGAAAAATACGTCGTGGCACGAAGTATTGTGTTTTAATAAACACTTGACTGGCCACTCCTGTGTGTTGAAAACATTTTTTCCTCGTGGTTTCATATTAGAAAACATTTTTTTCTTTGTGTTTTTGCTCTTTAGATTAAAAAATAATAGTTTCGTTAGAAAATATACTTACCCTGGACTCAGTAAAGCTTTAGTCTGTAATTGTACACGTAACTTATATAGATTAGATTGCTATGCAAATACGCTGGGATAATCGTAACGTAAAATGTGAAGTTTATATTTACGAACTTTACATACCCTTACTGGCCGATGTAATTGAGCTATCAAAAACAGCAAAGTACAATGAAACAAAACAATTACAAATTTCTCGGCAAAATATAGCAGGTATTCTAATCGCTAAATTAAAAAATACATAAATGAAAAAAAATTTTGTAAATCCTCGAATTAGCCCCCTTGCGGCTTATTTATTTGTGATATTTTTGGACGGGAGCTTATTTGAGGGGGGGATGTCTTATAAAATTATTGTAGACAATAAAAAGACATTATTAAAAGACCTTGTTTATCTTGGTAGAAATTTCTTTATGGACATTTAATTAATTACTACTAAAAGTACGAATTTGTTGTGGTAATTCAATAAAACGCCATAGGCAACCTAAGGTGGCAAAAGTCATCAAATTGAGGGATCCAATTCGAGAATTTACGGTAGCCTTACTCGACGGGGGGGGGATTCCGCGACTCCATCAATGTATATGCGGCATCTGTCTCGGATACAGTTCAAGCCAAACTTTGAGACTCCTCCTTAAAAAAATTTCTCACTACATCGTAGTCTTGCTTGTGTATGTTGTTCTTTTCTCTATTTTATTGCTTATCAGATTTTTTAATGAAATTGAACTTTGTGTGTGAATTTAACATTGGAATTTTTCATAAAAATCTCGTATTGTTTTATTATTAATATTTAATTTCTCTTCTAACATTCTAAAATCTATTTTTAAAGCCAAATCAAATATGAAGTACTAAAAATAAATAATTTTTCTTATGGAACACACATTTGTGACACGAAAAGATGCATTTAGGCTACATTTAAGAACATGTCTTCTTACATTCAGATCCCATTCCTTCATTTCTAAGGTATCACGATCAGACAGATCCTTGGACTTGGTAGCAGCTCGTCTTGATAGCAAGCATTGATGGAGCCTCGGCCCACCAACTCTACACAACAGTAAAAGAAAGATGACCAAGGGAAAGATGAATTCTCAGATACCACACGGGAACGATGAATTCTTGTTTTCCACTATCCAGAACGTATTTTTACTCTGTTCAGAATATTAGGAGTTCGACCTGTCCTCTACGGTAACTGAATATCCATAAAATCCTCGGAATTAGCCCCCCCCCCGCCACATATCGAATAAGCCCCCACCCTAGAACTAGATAATTGGCATTTAAGCCCCCCCCC